CTTTTTAGTCTGCGGAAGCTGAATCAGTAATCCTGAGCATGCTTGAAACTCCAAATCTAGAGGTAGCGATGGCACAGAAAGGGGGGGGGGGAGATCGCGAATGATGAAAGAAAACATAGGATGGACTGAAAGCCGAACGTATATGTATAGAGAAATGTCGAGCGTAATGAAAAATTTCAACAGCGGTCAAATACAAGACACTGTAATCAGAGCCTTCGCTACTGCTTGCAGGTAAACGCATGCCTTGCACAGGCAGGTTGCATATTGGTCCGACTGTCCCGCCATTTCGCTACAAATCCCCGATAAGCTGCAATAAGGATTAAGCGCAAAGTAACTGAAAGCACCATTCATATAAGACTCTGCGGATCGAAGATCGGTATTTGTGGTCGCCATGCCTCAATCAGTTAAACAAACCCCATACATTCCATAATCGCTTCATGTAGTTGAGCTACCGCATCTAATAGCAGAAGAACGTTTAAGAGAAATGAATGCGCAAGCATTCGGCCTCAAACTTACCGACCATCACGATCACGCAGAGCCCTATACAAGGGCCTCGTCTATGGAAGAGCTCATATATCAATCGCGAATAAAGACAATGACAATGAACATATGAACTGAAACAACAATCGTCAAAATATATAAACCACAGGATCGAAGTCCTCTCTGTTCGCTATTCTCCGATCATAAGCATCCACTCAGTATTTCGCTTATTGGAAACTTCCATATCCTTTCATTCAGTCTTGGATGTGATTGATAAGCAAACTTACAAGGGAATGATACTTAATCGCACTGACGATTGGGTAAGCGGTGTATACCGCGTATACCGTCCCCAGACAGTGATCTCTAAACCGCATTCCATATCTGCTATGACGTCATTCTGGAGGAGTTATAAAGGATTTTTGGTGCAGTGGATAGTGGCACTGGGAGCTGGACGTCGTGGGTTCGATTCCTCTGGGATGTCACCCGTTTCACATTTTTGTAAATTTTAGCAGGCAAATTGCAAAACCTATCGACATCAAAAAATGTTGTTTTTTACAGTATGAAGCAATATATTTACATTCATTGGCACTGAACCACCTCTAACCTAAAAACACTCGTTTTTAGCCTTTTTCATTGAATACCTTACTCAATTTTACATTGAGAATTCCGAATTCATGCTTTACATAGAGAGGAGCAGCCAACCTGTCAAAAATGGCGTCTTTATCGATTTTTTGATGCACAATATGTATGAGTAAAGTATTTAATGAAAAAGGCTAAAAACAAGTGTTTTTAGGCTAGACGGTGGTTCAGTGCCAATAAATGTAAATACATTGCTTCATATTGTGAAAATCAACTTTTTTCTGATGTCGACAGGTTTTGCAACTGCCTGCTAAAATTTACAAAAATGGCATAAGGAATCGAACCCACGACGTTCAGCTCCGCAGTCCAAGCCATTATCCACTGCACCGAAAATTCTTTATAACTCCTCCAGAATGACGTCATAGCAGATATGAAATGCGGTTTAGAGATCACCGTCTGGGGACGGTATACGCGGTATACACCGCTTACCCAATCGTCACTGCGATCAAGTATCCTTCCCTTGTTAGAAAAGATAACTACCCTCGATATCATCCCATATGTCTTCCCTCAACATGACGTGGATTACGTGGCTTGATGAGGCGCCGCCTCGCCTCGGGCTTGCGCCACGTTGCGTGCGCATCTTCGGCGTGATGTGGCAACAAGAAGAACGTGGAAAAGCCTGCGCCACGTTGTGTTGAGCGCCACGGCGCGCCAAATGATGCGCTCGCAACGTGGCGCGAGGCCGAGGCGAGGCGGCGCCTCATCAAGCCACGTAATCCACGTCATGTTGAGGGAAGACATATGGGATGATATCGAGGGTAGATAGTTGTGTGCCTCGAATGCGATGCTTATGGAGTTAGCATGGAAGATCGTTTTGTCCAACAAATCGGGAAGGTTCAAACAACATCAATGAGTCACCGGTCTGGATGCATTGGGTGCATTCGAGACGGACGGAATTGTTGACATCGTCGCGGCAACGATGACGTCACATGCCCCCCCCCCTGCGCTTTATACAGGGTGTCCCAAAAAGATGTGCACATTGTTTGATTTTGAATAACTCTCTTATTATGAGGTCTTTCGAGAAGCGGTAAGCGCCATTTCGTAGAGCTGGCTTCAACTTAGATTTACAGTATAGAGCGAATCATTGACCGCCCTTCGTTACGGTAGGAATACGGTAGAAACTTGGAACATATTGTGTCAATGTGTAAAAAGCTGCCGTTTCAAAAATTTTCAAAAAGATGTGAAAACTTGTGTAATAGGGTTTTTAGGGACGCTGAGTTCAATACTCAACTATTCTTAAGATTACGAAGCTTTTTAAATGGTGTAACCGCACTTTTTAGGAACATTGAGAAAATGGCCGCTACTGCTTACCTCGCATAACTCTTCGGTGAAACATTATAATAGGTTGGGAACTTTACAGTTAGAATCAGCAACTCTAATTGCCCTAGTGTAAAAGTTTTCAGGCTGTTTTGATTCCTTTCTGAGGCAAAATATGGCCTTTGATGGCCAAAACCCTCTGTCAAGTTTCTACCGTATTTCTACAGTAACGAAGAGCGATCGGTGATTCGCTCCATACTGCAAATCTAAGTTGAAGCCAGCCCTACAAAATGGCGCTTACCGCTTCTCGAAAGACCTCATAATAAGAGAGTTATTCAAAATCAAACAGTGTGCACATCTTTTTGGGACACCCTGTATATAGTTACAAGTCCAAAGCGCCGCGCAGCGCTTCAAACTGGCTGTGTGTGTGTAAAGTAAGATGTGACTAAAATTAAAAGCTAGAACTTATGAAGTTCTGTGGAGAACCTTTTCCTCAAAATACGGTGGGACTTTTTTTGCCACTTAATCTAGGATCGAAGTTAAGGGTTACTTATATTCCCTGCTGTTAAGATTCAAAATTTTCTTAACAAAAGTCTCAACAGAATTTTGACTGCTCTCTCCCACGTCTTTTAACCGCAACGATGTTTCTTCCTATGCTCTACAGGGGCAGATGGTTTTGTATATCATTGCGTTTTGCAAACTTGCGTTGTCCTTCTTTCAGCCAATTTACCTTCCGTCCCCTCTCCGCCACCAAGTCTTTTTTGCAAGAAAGACTCTATATGAAATCTCTGATCTACTAATCTTTAAGGCATTCTTACACTTCTCAAACTAACACAATCGCCTTCGGGTCATGCCTCGACGCTGCTGTATTCAGATGTGCCGCTTACACGCTTACCCAAGCCATTGTTCATCATTACGTCTGCGGTTTGACGCAAATATTCGTGTTGGGACCTCCCTATTCCCTCCTCATTTTCTTCGACTACGATTCCATGAGGTCAGATGCAGCGCAAACCTTTTGCGTTGCGTGTGCACATGTTTTCATCGAAGGTTTCAGCCTTATTGCGATTGAGACATACTGTACCTGACAAAGTTATCATTCCTTCAACATTCTGCGGCTATCCGGATGCTCCGAACTTTTACAAACTTCAAAAAGTATACTGGCCGAAGTGACCGTCTCGCACTCGACACAATTCTCCCAGCCCTGACCACTCCCTTGCTATTCCCATCCGGGGTCCTGCTTCCCACAATGAGTGTCACTCCTTGCATTGAATTCCATTCTTCCCCCCCCCTCTTAAACTTCTTCGAGTTCTCTTATTTTTGAATTGATAAAGATCTCACTTTCCAGCTCAACTAGTAGGCTACTAATTGTTTCTTTTGAATCCTACCACCGAAGCATGCTTTTGCTTTCAGCTGCTGAGCTAACAAGGGAATGGTCAGAAGTCAAAGTGGTGGCCAAACCAAAGAAGCTGTATGTCATTCGATGCAGTATAAAACGCTGACTTCGAATCTGTCCTCATTATCTGCTTCCCGCTTCTGTGGACGAAGCTACAAGCGGTTTTAAAGTGAAAAAATCATACATAAAAACAGCGAAATTGAGCACATTGTTGCACTTTTAGCTCGGCTTCTGGTTTCAAAAATTTTAAGTTAGCTAACTGCATGTTTTGGCTCAGCATTGAGGCGAACGAGGCTCTGTACGGCTAGATTTTCAGTTTCACGCATAATTTCTAAGCAAAATAATGGTCTTTAATGGCTTATAACTTCGTCCAAAAAAGCGATAAGCAGATAAAGGAGACAGATTTAGAGTCAGCGCTTCATGCTGCATCTAACGCTATGCAGCTTGTCTGGAATGGCCACTTCGATTTCTGACCATTCCCTTGTAAGCAAATCTTTGTTGCTCAGACGATTTTTGGATTGCGCAATATCTTGGCAAAAAGCTGTGGTAGAATTGTGCAACTTCACACTTCTGAGTTTAGCAGGGCTTCAGCTGATGGTGAAGCCCCTGCATTGATTCTATCTTGTCTTTATACACGAATGGATTGAAGGCAGTTTCTGACGGCGAATATTTTTTCCGTCGGGCAAAAGAAACCCTATTTCGTGTTTCTGCTTTCGCAGTATGGAAATTTTTCACAAACAGTTGAAATGAGCGAATTTCGATCATTCAAACTGAGAGGATTAATTAGGACAATTCGCATCTACGGTTGCTGCTGCAATACATATGATATGAAAGTGGTAATTTGTCTGATACCATAAAGAATCAACACGTCTTCAGAAAGCTGTGGGAGACCGTCTGGTGGAAATGTAGTTAATTGATTCTACCGCTTTAAGAGTTTTGTGAAAGGGCGTACTGATCAACAACTCGAGAAATAGGCTCAAGCAAAAAATGAGTCATCAGTTTGGGTGCAGTGGGTGCATTTGAGACAGACGGAAATGTTGAAATCGTCGCGGCAGCGTGACGTCAGACCCCCCCCCCCTGCGCTTTATATAGAGAGATGATATCTGGTGATATGATGATAACCAAGACGTATTAAACCATAACTCATGAACTTGTTAATCAGACGGACGCAAAGCATGCTTGTGTCTTTTCAGAGAATGAATTTTATGTCTTGTGAAAACTGATTTTTCAGATCTGGACACAATGAAAGCTACAAAGTTATTTTTTGTGGTTGTATGCGGTGTGAGTATGACAATATGGCTATTTCTCTTTCTGGGATTAGCAGGGCAAGATGTGTTGCCGATGGTGGTGAGTGCTAAGTGCAGGCAATTCCCGTGGTTTTATGGGAAATTCGGTTTAGGATGAAGTTGAGAAGGTCTCTTCCTCTATCTTTTCTCTCCAAAGACAAGTTCAACAGGAAAAGGAAGAAGTGCGTCGTTTAAAAGACGTGCTTAGCCAACTGACCGCAGAAAAGCTTCCTGAAAAGGTGCTCACGAGATGGAGCTGCTCACTCAAGCCATTGAAAGATTGCTTTTCAGGATCTTGTGCAGCAGAAAACGGACAGGCGGCCTTGGTCAGAACCGATCCCTGTGGTGGTTGGTGTTTATTCTAAATTGAGCACATAGGAAATAGCGTTTATCGTGCGAAATGTGACGTACAATTTGTGTACTTTCTAAGGTCTGGTGATTGAAATTGTGTAGGCAAGCGCGCGATTCAGAGGCACTGTCCGCAAAAACTCGATTTTTAGAAAATCCGCTTACAGAGGTTATTTGCAACCTAAATCCAAAAATCCACATAAGAAGGCACAACGGCGAGAGCATGCGTTTTACAATTTCTTACTTTTGAACGACGGTCCCCGCCAAGGCTGGGACGCAGAGTCGCTGCGGTACCCTACGATTTTGAGTGTTGCGGCATGCTTTCTGCCGCATCTCATTGTCAGATACATTTACCGGCCAGTGACCGGGCGACGACCCGCTGAGGCAACCGGCCGCCCGCCGGCCGGTTGCGGCGCGGACGCCCACCCGGAACCGCCTGTTGCGCAGCGAATCATTATGGCGTTACCACAATTTTTGGCTATCTTTGGCATTATTCTCCTAATCAAATACATGGTAACACAGAAATCCTTTACAATAATTCATTAGCTTTCACGGGAATGGGCATTAAGAACGAGAAAACGCCAAGGCAGCATATACAACATAACATATGTATCAATAATGCATTCCAAAAGCAATGATCGAATCCGCGTGTACGCTCGAGCTCCAACACCTCCACAATAACTCATTAGTTTTCACGGGACAGGACATTTCTGCTTGTTTCCATAATACGTATCTCACAAAACAGTGTGGTGCTTTGGATCCCTACAAATAATATTACATTATACAGTATGGATGAGAACCCTACAAATAATATTACATTATACAATAGCTGGCTTACCCGGCTCCGCCCGGCCCTGTCAAAACACTACGGTAAAGCTCTCATCCCTATCCCAATACAACCTTTTTCTGTCGCCTACTTGCCAATTCATTAGCTGTTTCAGTAATCAGCGTGCTCGATTACTCCCCTGTGCCAACTCCCAGCCCCGCAGTTCAAAATTTACAAAAAATCGATAAAACCGGAAAAAGTGAAGGATATTTTCAAAAACTAATATTGTATTCGAATCAGCATGCTCGATTACTCCCCTATGCCAACTCCCGGCCCCGTAGGTGAACTCTGCCAAAAAATCGATAAAAATCGATAAAATTGATATCGATCGATGACGAAAAGTAGCCTACGACACCCGCCCGGCCCCGAAGTGTACGTGCGCCAAGTTTGGTCCGGATCGGTTGGGAAATGGAATTTTCTATTCGGAACACACGTACACACAGACAGACATACAGACAGACAAACAGACATTTAGCTTTATACATAAGATGGATGAGAAACCAACCTCAGTATCTTACAACACAATATGCGATGATTGCAATTATCAAGTCATTATATTCCCAATCAAATCATATCCCCAACAGAGATCCAAACACATGTAGTACCTAAACTGGACATTTGTCATCAATTCCAGCTCCGAAAAGAATAAATAAGTTTTAGCTCGAGGAATGCGAAATCTTCTTACCTGTTGCGATATGCCTGAAACAACCCAGTAAGACTGTTCATTACCATCTATACCCACTCATTTTCCAAGCAAATACATCAAAGATCGGACGTACGGTATACACCCAACATCCATCGGCTGCGAGATAACGTGCTCCAAATAAATAGAGCCCTAATCTTGTTTTAAGACCTTATTTTTGACGTATTTTCTTCAGACGCACTATCAAGGACATATGAAATTTATTTCCAGGTTTCGGTATCTCTCTATCCCTCTAGGAACTTCAAAATCGCATTTGAGTAAATTTCTCAGGTCACTGGGGTTATTTTTCAAGGAGGAATCAGGAATGATAAATATCTTGCAAAGTCCTTGCTTGCATGGTTACGGTGGTTGTGCTGCAGCGAAGAAGAAATCACTTAGCCCTAGAAGGATTCAGCTTGTTGATTCTAAAACTCTACGATATTGCTCATTTCTCTTAAAATTTTGAAACCACTAACTTCTGTACAGCAAATATAGGTGGATTTTGCGATTGCGCCATTAAAACTCACTGTTTTCTTTCTGGGCAGAAATAGTAGTATATGATCTAGTATATGATCTAGTACCTCTAGTAAATGATCTGTTCTGATTTAGAATATAAACTTGATTTAGCTGGTGCATGCTTAACATTCCATCAAACATGTGCTTCTTCTTCTTTTATTGTTGTCCTAAATGATTTTCTCTCCTTTCTATCGTACATATGCCCTCGCTGTTTTTGGAATAATGGAACCATTTTTCAGAGTTCAAGTTCTGAGAAGGTGATTACAAAAAGTATCCATCTAGACATAATCAGGTAAAACATAATGTCAACTTTCGTGCTGCGTATAGGCACGTGGATCTGGAATTTGATGTGCACCTAGCGCAAGTGTACAGAAATGAGCTACGTTGGTAATTCGATATTATTATGATGATATATCGGAACCGCCGTGAAATTTAACCTCACCGTATGACTGCAGCGAAAAGCTGTATTAAGTTTGTGTGGAAAAGCGAACTCTGTAGTTAGTAAAAAGTTTCATATAGTCTTTATGGTAGTAAGTCTGGAGAAAATACTTTGTACGGACTGAGGTTATACCAAATGAAGTTGGGTGTATACTGTACGTCCAAAGATCGTTGTTAAACAACAAATATTTTATAGGGCAGAATTCCCCCGGAATAGGCAGACAAGTAGAAAATCCAAGCGCAATCTTAGCGAATACTCCGTCGATAGTAGAGTCAAGCATGCTATACAGCTTTCGAACTAGATGCACTCCAACCTCCGAAATATGAGGGTTGATGCGAAACCGATACTTACGTACTTTGCTGCGCACAGGGGTGCGATAGGGGGAGCCAGGCCCACCAAAAGTGAATGTGGTCCCAGCTATCACTGGACGCCAAAAGTGAAGGTGGTGGTGCCGGACACTCACCTCCCAAAAACACCGAGAGGAGGGGGGGAGCACAGCTCGACTTCTCTTTTCACAAAACTTCTTTCTCAAAAGTTCCATTTGCTTTTTCGTAATAAGGAGAAATAAGAAGAACAAATTCGAAGGTTATTAAAAGTTTTTTTCTCACTCAATTTGGTTTTAGAAACTCGCCGTCGCCTACTGCGAGCACTCCGAGGCCATCATGGCATGGACGCATCTAAGCCCCAGCACTTCCCACATATTTTCGGAGAACAAAGCTTCTTGATGAATTTCAAGAGTGCTAACCGAACGGTCCTCTTTAGGGCCAATAACTGTGACACAACGGCCCTTTTTAGGGCCACAAATACGATGACTACAGCGGGCATAAATATCATAACTTATAATAACGGGCTAAGGTTGTTTACGTGTTTTTGTGTGTGTGTATGTGTGTATGTCTGTGTGTCTGTCTGTAACGAAATTCGTAGAGCGAGTTCCAGCCAACGTCCTGAGCCCAAATTTTGCACATCGCATGCGACCAACATAAGAGCCTATCGTGCAAAAGTACGAGTGGTTTTATTGGTTGGATCTTTCAGAAACTGCACGTCAAACGGAACCACTTAGGTTCTGGCCAGCAAAATTGGTTCCGTATCACCACTTTTTGCAAAATCGGTGATGTGTTTGGCATGCTGATGTGCAAGCCATGGACTTAAGTCCAAAAAAGTGGACAAAAGTTCACTCTTTAGGAGGACGACGCCAAAAAGAAATGATTGCGTAAATGATTAATTTGCCATGGTTTTACCTGAGCATTCGAGAAAGTTTTTGCACAAAGATGTAGCTCACGTTGCCTACTGTCCTTATGGTAGCTACCAAGCCAGAAAGAGTCCAAAAACCTATTCAAATTTGTATTTGTTCTTCTGCGAAAAGTTTCATCCAAGCGAAATCACCGATCTCACATGAAAAAGCATTCTAAATGGGTAATTGTTTACATTTTACTTGCGATAATCGGCACTGCGCGGTGAGTTTCATTGCCATCTTTAGTTAAGGATGAGTAAGGCATATGAAGTAAGACCAGTGCGAGCCTCTGCGAAGCAGAGGTGACGCACTGGTTTGAAATAAACGCGTCAATCAAATGGTGTATTTGGAAGTAAAACTTGGCAAGACTTCACAGTTTTTGTTAAGTAAATTCTGTTATAACGTACTGCGAAGAAAGCAGGTCGATCCAGGAAGTAATTGACGTGAACCAGAATTTCGAATGATAGAATAGCGAAAAAACCATGATTTCCACTGTTAATCTAGTGGTTGAAGATGTCAGCAACTGCGGCTTCATAGGTTTTACATGGTAAGCGTTGTTCTGCCATATAGTGAAAGAATCTGGTCGATTTGAGCAGTGGCCGCCGAGAACGAGATTTTTGAAAGATACGCGATTTTAGGTTGCTTAGTGACAGCCGACATTTCAACTCCTATAAATCTGGATTGTGACGCTGTGCGATGTGCGACTTCATAGGCTTTGTAGAGTAAAGTTTGTTCTACTAGAATGTGTTTTAGTCTTATCCTTTGAGATGACGCCGAGATCGAGGCTTTTGAAAAAGCAGGTAAAAAAGCGCTTCTCATTCTTCGACAGCTCATAACTTTTTCAAAACTGCATGATTAACGGGGCGACTTTATAGGTTAGGTTCTCTTCTTTAATAGCTTTCAGATGGTGTATGATATATGGGGGTTCGATGCTTTTTGCGGCTTCAACCCGGGGAGGAGCCTTTTCATCACTAATTCTCCCCTGGCGGCCCCCATCCAGTACATTGAAGTGGGCTGGGGCGGGGGGGGGGGAAGAATTAGTGATGAAAAGTCTCCTCCCCGGGCACAAGTCGAAGAAGGCCCTAGACTGCCACATACATATATCATCTGAATGCTCTTGATGAGAGAATCTCACTTATGATGTCGCAACATGATTCATGCAGTTCTGAAAAAGTTTTGAGCTGTTAGAATTTAAAAAAGCGTTTTCTAATTGCTTTTTCAAGAGTCTGGCTCTCGACGGTGTCTGAACGGATCGGTACGTCTAAGACATATTCTAGTAGAAAAGACCTTACTCTACAAAGCCTTT